TCTCGGTCGAGCGCATGAAGAAAAATGATTGTGCTTTCTTATATTTTCGTAGCCTGAACCTAAAAGTGAGGAGCCGAGCAAATACGAAGTTACATAGATTAGAGATTTTGGTGCAAAATCATTGAAATATATTATTACCCCCAATCCAATTATAATCCACCAACCCGTCAGTATCTTTCCCTCCGTCTTCATACTTAATTAAAGTCTAATTTAGTGATTTTCTCTTGAGTGGCCTATGTTACCGAGAGTGCTATGAAAATTTAAATCTCTTAATTTGTTATTGTTCTTGTCATATTCTTGAATAAAATTTATTTCGCAATGTATGTGTGACTCTGCGATTGCCGTTATTTCAATTCCATTCGTTTTTCCCCGATCCGTTATTCTAACCTGGAAGACGTCTCTGTCTGACGTAGTCTGGGCCCGACAGTAAGTTAGAGCGAGATAAGAATAACAATTGCAATACATGTGAGCGAGAATGTGTGTGAGTACACATAGAACAGCAAAGAGATGGTAAAACGAAATTATGGCAGTTTTTTGAGAAGAAATCGAACGAGCGAACATATCGGTGCCCAGAAAGCTTCCGGTGATGGATTTTAATAAAATAGAAAATACTAATGCGATATCTCAAACATCAGAAGTGGGATCAGATCCTTCCCAAACCAATTCTGATCACCGCTAGCTCGCGGTGCTTCTCTTAGAGAAGCAGAAAAAATCTAAAATATTCTGTTTCAAATGTGGAGAAGCTGGACACATTCAATCGGCCTGCCCTGGCGCCTCATGGAAATTTAATCGTATTGTTGCTGGACTTGAGTGTTCTTTCGTAAGAGAAGCTGTGTCCTGAAAGTTTTCTGGCAAAAGAATCAATAACGTTGTTGATCTTAAAGGTTTTGGAAATAACTCTATAACTAGCTCGATGCAAATTTTATCAAATGTTTTCATAGAATTATTCACTTGAAGTTATATTTCATGTTGTGTTGAATGAGTATCTAAATTACGATATAATAATAGGTCGAGAAATCATGGCTTTAGCTTTAAATAAGTTCATTCCTAGGTTACCAGTAACCTCCTCTATCGATTCCCTAAATAATAGTGTTACACGTCTTTAGGGGCGTGGCATATACAAAAATACTCTGTAATTTTTTCATTTTTGGAGCGTAAGCATCCAAGTTGCATCTAGTTTACGGTTAGCTTGCTCCATGAGCTGGCCAAAAATGAACTGTCTACGCCCAGTAGGGGCGTGGCAAATCGAGAAGAACTGAACGTTCTACAGTATTAGATCTAAACTTAGCAACTAAATTGCTGATGGGATATTCTTACTTGTTTTTATACCCTGAACCCATTGAAAATGGGAAATCAGGGTATAAAGGTTTTGTTAAAAGTATGTAACAGGCAGAAGGAGGCGTGGCAGACACCACAAAGTATATAATTCTTGATCAGGGCGACGAGCTGAGTCGATTTGACGTTCCGTCTGTCCGTATTTATGAACGCGTCGATCTCCGAAGATTTACGTAAGAGCTAGATACTTCAAATATTTAAAATGTCCGTATAAAGAGCGGGCATAAAAAAAAACCTTATAGAAAATCAGTTAAAAAATTATATCTTTAAAGTTAGAGTGTCCGAATTTTAAATATATATTAGGATGCATTTTATACAATTTCGGTTTCTGCTAAAATTTACCCCCCGCCCCTATATCCATCCCCTCACCTTCATCTATGTAAAACTCGTATATCAAATACTAGATACTTGTACTTCGGTATACACATACATTTAAACTTTATGATTACGTTCTGAAAGTTTCATTACGATCGTACGTCTAAAAATTAAATTATTCAACCAATAAGTTCTCATTATATTGCCAACACTGCAGCGCAACCCAAGAGCAATCGCCTATATGCGTGTTTGTATGCGTGTGTGTGTGATGAATAATTAAACATTTCTTTATTTTATATGAACTATAACAGCCAATTGCTGGTACGCTCAACTTGTCCGTTCGTTTGCTTACTAAATACTAACATAGGTTTATCGACTTAACCGATAATTGATCTCGAAACGGCTCTTCATTCGCCGATAATAATGAAAGCTACAAATGATGCTAAAAAAATGACAAAAATGCTAAAAAATGAGAAATGTGCTAAAAAATGACAAATGGTTCCTCAACAGTATCTTAGGCTAAGACTTTGACTGAATAAAATACAGAAAACATTCTCTGGATAACACAATGAAAGAGTTGTTTTTATGTTGCCACTGCAGTGCACTGATGGAACTGCACTCCTCTCAACTAAAATAAAGACAACAGGCTGCTATAGTCACTTCTCAAACCATGGTTGAGCTTTGGCAAATACTTTCAGCTACATTAACAACTGACGTTAAAAGACAAGTGTGGTAAAAATTGGAGTTGGTATCAAAATCGAAGAAAAAAAAAAAATAAATAAATAAAAAGTAAAGCCCCCAAGTAATGCGACTAAGTTCACAATGGGAATTCAACTTTTAGACAGTATTTACAAAATTATATTTTAGTAGTTGGCTTAGACCTTGTTGAATTATTGAAAATAAATCTTATAACATTCCTAAACATTCGACTCGTAAAAAAAATTTAAGTAATGTCAAAAAAATGAATATGCAACTTAATGAGTTTGATGCAGTGATGGAACAGATTGGTATGGACTATTACAGAGTACAATACAAGTTAACTTTCAAATATTTTTCAATAGGTTTTGGAAAGGTTCATTGCTATATTATGCTTACTTTGGGCTTGCTACAGATGTTAACCATACACGAAACAATGGGAATGGGTATTATTGCACCTTCCGCGGTATGCGATCTTCGTATGAGTCTTGTACAGTTGTCGACAATAACAGCTGCGGCTTTTTTGGGTATCATATGCTCTTCCTACTTCTGGGGCTATATTACGGATAAAATGGGTCGTCGATGGATTTTATTACACACTATATCCATTAGTAATTTTTGTTCAATAATTTCAATGTTTATGGTCAGCTTTACCAGCTTTTTTGTAATGCGATTCCTCACAGGTATATTGTAAGTATGTTGGATTGTAAGGCTTACCAAAAAAGTTTATATATATATATATATATGTGTGTGTGTGTGTGTTGGGTGTGTGCAGTGTTGCTGGTCCCAGCTTTGTAGCTGTTACGTATCTCAGCGAGTTTTGCAACAAACAAATTTTAGCACGCGCTGTAACACACATGTATATGTTTACAGGCTTTGCAATGTTTTACTGTCCATCGTGGGCCACTCTCTTTCTTTCCTCAAGTTTCATGGATTTCGAGCTGGCTTTAGTGGGTAGACTAACATTTCGTCCTTGGAGACTTCTCGGGTGCTTGTTTATGTTACCGGGGGTTATAGCTTTGGTTTTATTACTTCACATGCCTGAAAGTCCTAAATTTCTATTTATGATTGGTGATACAAAGCGTGCATTAGCAGTTATGGATTGGATAAGCATAAAAAACACAGGCCTTCCTTTAAGTGCTGATCAGGTAGAGTTAATGCAAAAATTTCAGGAATCGTCTGACGTTAGACGCCACAAACGGTCTAGTAACCTTATGCAAACTATGCTTAATGACGCCATGCCGCTGTTTCGCAAACCCTATGTTGGCTTTTATGTTGGAAGTTGCTCAGTTATGTTTAGTCTTGGATTAGTGTAAGTTATTAATAATTTTAAAGTTTATCAAATCAGTAATTAAATAACTTGTCTTATTTATTTAGCGCCAACGGCTTAGGTATTTGGTTTACGGCAATGCGAAATCGATCTAATATGCGTCTGGATAGCAAAGCTGATATGACATTTTGTAAAATTCTCTTTAGCACGAGACCAAACGATATTGAAGATAGTGAGCCGGACCTGATTGTTGTAAGAACTGTTAATTGAATTTGTGATTCTTTTATCAAGCTGATGCCTAAAACTTACAGGCTTGTAACGATGGGTTTATAGGTTTCAATGATTCACTTATATTAGGACTCACTTATATAATTCTGTACAACATTTGTTGGTTTATGCTTTTTTTTTTACCTCGCAAAGCGATGTTCATAGCTGCATTAGTCATTTCATCCTCCTGCGGATTTGCACTAATTTTTGTGACTGACCGCTGGTTACAGCTTTTTTGTTTTGTCCTATTTATCTCTCTACCTGGTGTTGTCATTAGCTTGTTGGGTGGTGCACTCCTTGAGTTTGTACCAACATATTTGCGTGCTAAGGCGTTGTGCATTAGTTTGATGTGGTGTCGCTGGGGCGCAGTAGTTGGAACAACTATCGTGGGTATCTATGTTGAAAAAAGTTGTGAGATGACCATTCTTGTTATTGCCATATTTCCGATGCGTAAGAGAATATTGTAAGTTATTAACATAACATTTTATATATTTTCATTGCAGTTTCAGCCAGCATTGAGGGCTTTTTACCGCTTTAGAAGGTTAACTAAATTTATAATTGCTCTAAATTTATGTAAAGAAGAGTAAATATATTTAATATATCAATATTTATTATATCAATATTATTTTATTGCCTATTGTGTATGCTAAACAAAGCTGGGAAGCTGTTAGCTGTTAAGCCGCGTTAAAAACGCCTTTAATAGCGTCAGGTGGACCGATATGCTCGCCTCGTTGGAGCATCGCTTCCATATACCGGAGTACCTCAGTATGATCAGGAACTATTTGCAGGATCGAATACTCCTGTACTCCTGGCACGAAGCGTTATAAAGTGACCGGAGGAGCTGCACAGGGGTCGATCAGACCTCAATAGAGAGGAGAGTAAGCGGAAACCTGATAAAAACCCAGAGGACAGTGAACTATCTATGCGTTGGACTAGACAGTAAACTTACCTTCTGGGAACAGCTGAAGAATGCCATGCCGAAAACAGCGACTGCAACGGGGTCTCTGAGTAGGCTGATGGCAAACGAATGATGTTATCCGTGCAACGAAGAGCAGTCTTAAGGATAAAATCGGCGTACAGCACAGTCTCTGGGGCTGCCGTGACTGTGATATCAGCAGTCATACCGGTCGACTTGCTTGCCCGAGAGCGCAAAAAATATGGAATCTTCGGCCAAGAGGAAGGCGAGATTCTGTGGAAGATGGACCGCTAGAATAATTCCCGATCTAGAGAAGTGGATAAATAGAAAACACTGTGAAACATTGTTCTATTTGACACAACTACTCTCCTGACTACCTGAATGACGGTGCATAAAGCATTTTTTCATACCACAGGCCAATAAAAACAAGTAAGAAGACTCTTGTAGATATTAACATGTAGTAAGAAGTATTTGATGTTGCTTCTTTGCAAGTTCTTTATTCAATGATCGAATCATAAGTATCAAAAAATGTCTTAAGCTAAAAGTACATAGATTTCTTATTATATATCTCTGCCGCTGAAGGCAGCAGAGCGAGAGAGCGCAGTATGTATTTATGTATGTACATATATGCAAAGGGCATATACATTAGTTGTCTATATGAGCCGTTGGGTTGTCAAGCGGTCAAATGCTGACACGGCTATATGAGCCGATGCTGCGGAAGGCAGCAGTGGACATACCTCCCCTTTTAAAAAAATAACGTAATATATGGAGTTATTTAAGTATAATAT